CCTTTCAATTTCATTGAAGAGTTTAAACAGTAGTGGCAGCAGTTCCTCTCTAAATGTCTTGTAGAATTCAACAATGAAGCCATCAGGACCCTGGCTTTTCTTAGTTGGTAAGTTCTAATTATATTGTCAATTTCATTGATTGATATTAGGTTGTTTAGAATTTTTAGATCATCTTTGTGCAACTTTGGTAATTCATACTTTTCTCAGAATCTGTGCATTTCTTCTGTGTTTTCCATCTTATTGGCATATAGATTCTCGAAGTAGGTATTGATGATCCTTTGGATTTCTGCTGGTCCATTGTCATTTCACCCTTTTCATTCCTAATTGCATGGATTTGGGGCTTTTCTTTGCTATTCCTGATAAGGTTGACTAAGGGTTTGTCAATTTTGTTGATTCTTTTGAATAACCAACTCCTGGCTTCATTGATTTTTTTGTATCATTCTTAGTCTCCATTGCATTGATTTCTGCTCTGATCTTTATAATTTCCTCCCTTGCATGAGCTTTGGGTTTGTCCTGTTTTTCATTTTCTAGAAGCTTGAGGTTCAGCATCAGGTTGTTTAATTGAGCTTGCTCTGTTTTCCTAATATGAGTATTCACTGCTATGAATTTCCCTCATAAGACTGCTTTCATTGTGTCCCATAGATTCCGATATGTTGTACTGTCATTGTCATTTAATTGAGGGAACTGTCTGATTTCTTTAATTTCCTCTGTGACCCATTGGTTATTCAGAAGTGTGTTGTTCAGTTTCCATGTGTTTATGAAATTCTTGTGGTTTCTTTTGCTATTGATCTCCAATTTTTTCACACTATGGTTTGATAATATACAGGGGATAACTTCAGTTCCTTTTCACTTACTTAAACGTGTTTGAGCAAGTATGTGGTCTGTTTTGGAGAATGACCCATGTGCAACTGAAAAGAAAGCGTCTTTCCATTTTGGGGGGTGGAATACTCTGTAAACATCTGTTAAGTTCATTTGTTCAAGAATTTGAGTTCTACTATTTCATTGTTTATTTTTTGTCTAGTTGATCTATCCATTTGTGACAATGGGGTATTGAGGTCCCCCACAACTATTGTATTAGTGCTTATTTGATTTTCATGTCTGTTAGTATTTGTTTTATATAGTTGGGTGCACTAGTGTTTGGTGCATATATATTTGTGATTGTCATTTCTTCCTCTTCGATTGTTCCTTTTACAAGGATGTAGTGTCCTTCTTTGTCTCTCTTAATCAGTGTTGGTTTGAAATCCATGTGATCTGCAAAAAGGACTGCTACTCCTGCTCTTTTGGGGGTTCCTGTCACATGGAGTATTGTTTTCCACCCTTTAACTTTCAGTCTATGAGATTTTTTAAATTAAATGCATTTCTTGTATGCAGCCTATTGTTGCATCTTGCTTCTTGCCCCATTCTGCCAGTCTATTTCTTTTCATTGGTGAATTTGAGACCATTAACATTGATGGTTATAACTGATATGTATTGACATCATTGTCATGACTTTTTCTTTTTGCTGGATTCTCCCCCTTTGCATCTAATTTCTTGTCATGCCTGATGGATTCATTCTGCTGTGCTTCCTGGGGTTGTGATCCTTGTTGTCTTTTCCTAGGATGTTATCTAAAATTTTTTTGAGTGCTGGTTTGGTATTCATGAAGTTCCTAAGGTGCTCTTTGTCATGTAAATATCTTATTTCTCCCTCAATTTTGAAAGATAATTTTGCAGGGTACATCAATCTGAGTTGAAGGCTGTTTTCCTTTAGGGCTTGAAATAAGTCACTCCACATTCGTCTTGCCTTGTGGATTTGTGTTGAGAAATCTGCTGTTATTCTGATGGACTTTCCTTCGTATGCAATTTGTTTCTTTTCTCTAACTGCTTGTAGAATTTTGTTCTTCTCTTGGGTTTCTGGAATCTTAACTATTATATGCCTATGCATAGATGTTTTTTGATCACAGCTAGTTGGAGACCTCTATGCCTCACTTATCTGTATGTCAAGTTCTTTTCCCCTGCTAGGGAAGTTTTCTGCCATTACTTCTGTGAACAGTTTTTTTTATGTCTTCTGCAGACTCTTCTGTTTCTTCATTGACTCCCATCAGTCTGATGTTATTCTTCTTTGCATCGTCTAGCAGCTACTGGATTGATTTCTCATGGTCCCTTACTATTTTGAAGAAGTTTTACTTTTCCTGGTCACTATTTGCAATCTTATCTTCTATATCTGAAATTCTGTCCTCACATTGGCTCATTCTTCTGTGCAGACTTTCAATGGAGTTTTTAATCTCCTGGAAATCTGTTTACATCTGTTTTATGGATTCTATTTCTTTCCTATCTTTGGATTCCATCATATTCCTGAGCTCCTCTATTTTTTTATCTGTGTCCACTCTAGATTTATTAATCATATCTTGCACTATTGGCACAATCTCTGCTGTTATCTGAGAAATTATTTCTGATTTCATTTTTTCCAGATCCTCTTTTGTTGCTAGTTCA